ATCACGAGGATGTTGGAGACTAACCAGCCTGTTATTAATTAGTTTTTGGCTCGCTAGCAAAATGTACTGAGTTTTACACACACAAAGCATATACGAAAATGGAAGAAAAAAGTATTTATTTAACACGTTTTTGATGTGATATCTCCCCTCCTGTATCTCGAGGAAATTTATATACGAGATATTTTTTATTAGCATTCGTTCCTCAAAGGAAGTGGAAAATTAATTTAGATCTTTGATAAATTCTTTGATGGGAGGCTTGTGGAAATAACTTTTATGACGTATGTTTCTCTACTGCTATGTTGTTGTTTATGATAGATGCAGTTTTATTAATGTTTTCATTAATTTGCTTGGGTTAACGTGCAAGGTGCATGAAGCGCGTCGAACACAATGCTTGAGTTTACATTGTTTCCTTGAGGCTGCATTCAAAGGCATATTCTCTGGTCATTTGTAAGGTATCCCTGATGGGGTACCTCAAGTGACTGCTTGAATTATCTTTTCCTTCTCTAAGGTATCCGTTTATAACTGGAGAACGCATCATCCGATAACTGTCAATTTTTCTTCGCTGTTGTACCGTAATATTATCACACTGGTTCTTACATACTCCATTAATAATCCCGAAATTAACATACATCAAAGTAGGAGACATCAGTGTCGAATGAGATGAGGCAGTCAGAAATGGTCTCCACAAGTTATCGAACAGAAACGAAATCCGAGAATGGTCCGTATAAAATAGTCCAGAGGGTTTTTACTCGGCTCTTTCAACACTGATGTATCCTACTTTGATGTATCTTAATTTTGTGATTGTTACTGGAGTGTGTAGTAACCAGTCTGTAAATAATAATTTCATAACTGTGTAGTATTTTTTCCCCTAATTTAACTTATGTCTCGTCACTGGCTTCAGTCTTTAATGGCTGGTGCATCTTATGGACAGAATGATACTCAGTAATGATTGGTGCATCTTATGGACAGAATGATACTCAGTAATGATTGGTGTATCTTATGGACAGAATGATGCTCAGTAATGATTGGTGCATCTTATGGACAGAATGATACTCAGTAATGATTGGTGCATCTTATGGACAGAATGATACTCAGTTAATGATGGTGATCTTATGGACAGAATGATGCTCAGTTATGATTGGTGCATCTTATGGACAGAATGATACTCAGTAATGATTGGTGCATCTTATGGACAGAATGATACTCAGTAATGATTGGTGCATCTTATGGACAGAATGATACTCAGTAATGATTGGTGCATCTTATGGACAGAATGATGCTCAGTTATGACTGGTGCATCTTATGGACAGAATGATGCTCAGTTATGACTGGTGCATCTTATGGACAGAATGATGCTCAGTTATGACTGGTGCATCTTATGGACAGAATGATGCTCAGTATGACTGGTGCATCTTATGGACAGAAGATGCTCAGTTATGACTGGTGCATCTTATGGACAGAATGATGCTCAGTTATGACTGGTGCATCTTATGGACAGAATGATGCTCAGTTATGACTGGTGCATCTTATGGACAGAATGATGCTCAGTTATACGGTGCATCTTATGGACAGAATGATGCCTCAGTTATGACTGTGCATCTTATGGACAGAATGATGCTCATTATGACTGGTGCATCTTATGGACAGAATGATGCTCGTTATGACTGGTGCATCTTATGGACAGAATATGCTCAGTTATGACTGGTGCATTTATGGACAGAATGATGCTCAGTTATGACTGGTGCATCTTATGGACAGAATGATGCTCAGTTATGACTGGTGCATCTTATGGACAGAATGATGCTCAGTTATGACTGGTGCATCTTATGGACAGAATGATGCTCAGTTATGACTGGTGCATCTTATGGACAGAATGATGCTCAGTTATGACTGGTGCATCTTATAAGCTTACACTGTGTAGATGCAAATTTACCAGTCTTATGGGAACGTCAATGAACTGTCAATTTCTGGATTTTGAGCAGTAACTAGAGAATGTCTCTTCTGATCAACATCAACTTTCAGAAATTGTAAATCTTTCTCGAAGGTTCACGTTGATATTGGGGTCTTTAAGTCTGAATTTATTAATTTTGGTAACTAAATTTCTTTCCGTGCAATAGCTGGAGAATGCCTCTTCTTATCGACTTCAAACCATAAACACCGGTGCATGTTAAAAGGAAAAATTTATTGTTTGATTTTGTTTGATTTTTATTGGAGACTTTGTGAAAAATGATATATAGATTTTCACGTGATTACCGGTGAACGCCTCATCTGATCGGCTTTAAACCTTCAGCGCCGTTACTGATAATATACCTTCTGTGGGGTATATTCTAAGTGTTGGTTTATTTTGGAATAATGGTTTCTACCATAACTAAATAATGCTGTTTTGACTGGCTTGAAATATCGAAAGCTTAGTGGAAAGTTCATTTCTATTTTGGGTTGTGTAGGTACCAATCTGGCAATTTTATTGAGGAAATCGATATATTGGTTTCCACATGATAACTTGTGTATGCCTCTTCTGATTGGCTTCGGACCATCAGTGCTGGTATTTAACTGCATTAGAAACTTATACCGCACTCTGTACTATTCATTTCGAGTCCTGTGAGGTACAGAGGGCTGGACTTGTAGGATCCCTTTCTCAGATCGCGGGGCTACCGAAACACTTCTAGTTGTTGCTTTCTTCATCCTGCGTTTCAAAACATCATGATTTAGCCCTGACCAGAGTAATTCACGACATTCACACCAGAATGTTGTTACTAATGTTCTGGCTTATTTTAAAGTTTTATCAAAAATACCTGATATAGCCAGTTGTTCAATAAATCTACAGGAGTTGTACGATTAAAAGAATTTGCATATATATTGTTCATTTAATGGCGCCGGTCGTGTGTCTTTCTCGTTGACAAGGATCGATGGCAGGTTAGTTTAAATGTTTTTTTGCAAGTCTTGTTTGATTTATTAAACACACTGAACGCTGAATACGAAGACGTGATGACGAGAGTAACCAAGAGAAGACACAGCTGTAGATCAAGTTTTTATTATGACAACGTTTAGCTCTACGACACAGTAAAAGCTTCTTTGTCTTTTCCTCAACGTCTTACATATATATATATATATATATATATATATATATATATATATATATATATATATATATATATATTATATATATATATATATATATATATATATAAAGAGAGAGAGAGATAGATGAGAGAGAGAGAGAGAGAGAGAGAGAGAGAGAGAGAGAGAGAGAGACAGACAGACAGACAGACAGACAGACAGATAGAAAGAGAGAAGAGAGAGAGGGAGGGAGAGAGGAGAGGGGGAAGGGTCCAACAGAAGGTACAAAGACTAGTCATCATTAATTTCCTCCTCTCTCCTACAGAGCGTTGCTGAGTTAATATACACCAACTCCTCCCCTCTCACTTCTCCCCTTTATTTCCATCTCTAGCACCACCGGTTCCCCCACTTCTCCCACTCTCACCATCACCACAACCTGACTCACCATCACCATGTCCAACTACTAACCCATCAGTCCAACTACAGACATAATCACCATAACTACTAACACATACCCAACACATCCTAGATCTCACCACCACAGTACTAACATCCACCACAGCTACTACACCTCCCCACACTACTAACATCACCACTGAACTATTACCACACCCAACACCTACTAACATCACCACCACAGGTACTAACACTCCACCACAACTACTAACACCACCCTGTATCTACTAACTTCACCACCAAACACCTATAAATATCACCACCACAGGTACTAACACTCCACCACAACTACTAACATCACCACCAACACCTGCTAGCATCACCACCCAACACCTACTAACATCACCACCCAACACCTACTAACATCACCACCATAAGTGCTAACACTCCACAACTACTAACATCACCACCCAACACCTACTAACATCACCACCACAGGTACTAACACTCTACCACAACTACTAACATCACCACCAACACCTGCTAACATCACCCCCAACACCTACTAACATCACCACCGAACACCTACTAACATCACCACCCAGCACCTACTAACATCACCACCCAACACCTACTAACATCACTACCCAACACCTACTAACATCACCACCACAGGTACTAAAACACTCCACCACAACTACTAACACACTCTCACCATAGTATAGGATTCAACTACATTCATCGTACTCTACTGGGAGGAGTTGCCAGAGCCTTCAGGACCTATACACTCAAAATTCAATAAATTTATCAGTCAAGAATTTCTACCAGAGCCGGAATTATTTTGTATTCAGTGAAAGTGATAATAAGTTACAGTGACCAATAAAATACTGGGTGAAGTGAGGGAGGAGAGGAACGAAATGTTGCCTAGTGCACTCACTCTCTCACTCACCCACTCACTAAACCCATGTGAACCGTCATATATAACCAGTGGATGGGGGCAATCTGAAGTCAACAGATTTCTGACTATATTTGAGAGACTGCATCAAGACGATAAGGGTTGTGTCAGTCACAGCAGGACTAGTGGTAACCAGAAGTAGAACCACTGGTACAAACAGCTCTGGGAGTGGCAGTGGTGTAGCATTAGTAGCTTAAGATAGAAACAGTACTAGTTTAGTAGGTTTAATTGTAGCCCACATCTTCCATTCAATTCCATCTCCCCTGAAAATTCCATAAATGTAGCCAGTGGCCAGTGGACGTGGATGGTGAGAAGAGAGCCTTCTGCTTTTCAGTTCTTGTCTCACTTATTGACACTATACGCGACAGTCCTTAATCTAGGTGGGACCATATAGTTCTCAACAGGTAGCCTCGGTGTGAACTTCCATGTCTACTGTTATCTGTCTTTTCCATATACTAACATTACCACCACAGCTACTGCACCTGCAAACGCTACCACTACAACCAACACCACCTCCATGATTAACACCCCCACCACTACTTCCACTGTCACCACCATCACACTTATTAATTAACTCACTCTCTCCCCACAGTTCGGTGGTCGGACACTGCTGCCGGTGCGCTGGATGCCCCCAGAGAGCATACTATATCGCCGCTTCACCATCGAGTCTGATATCTGGAGCTTCGGGGTCGTGCTGTGGGAGATCTTCACCGGTGGGAAGCAACCTTGGTACGGCTATACCAACCAGGAGGTGAGCCCAAGCTTCCTGCACACTGTGGAGGCTATACTAGCGCATAATACTTTTTTTTTATGATACAGTAACACTGGATACATATCAGCAGTGTGCTGTTACTTTCTTCTATATGTTAGTTACATAGTGGGAACGGAAGATTAGCTAAGTTTCCCCTGTCATTTACCCCTACAAAGGATGGATTCCTTATAAAACATGATGTAATATGTCATCCCCCCATCCTACATACTATTTGAGCATACTAACATGCAATATGTGTTTTTATTATAACACTGGGTAGTTCAGCAGTGTGTGGATACAGTGTGAGTGATACATTGTAGGTACACCGGCAATGTCCTGTTCTGAGTCACAAAACTTTTCACAGCTTTTTTTTTCTGGGCAGGTAATCACGCAAATCACAGCTGGTCGGATGTTGGTGTGCCCCGAGAGATGTCCTGCAGACATGTACCGCATTATGCTCTCGTGCTGGAGCAAGAACCCGCAGGAAAGACTCCCTATGGCCACCCTCTACGACCGCATCAGAAGCCTCACCACCGTCGAGCCACACGTCCTCGACTACGACTGAGGAGAAGAGACTCCCACTGCGCCGCCTTGTAATTCCAAGTCCCCGACAATGATTAGAGAGTAGACTTTAATCATCTCGAAGGACCTCGCAGCCCCGCCTAAGGAATGGATATTCAGATGCCTCCGTCGAATCCCGCATACTCGACGACGAGCAGTAAGAATTGTCACCTACCTCACTACTCAAGTCGAGTCATATTGGAATTCTCCCTTCGACCTCGACCTGACCAATGTTCCCTCCGTAAGTTACCTGCAACACTCACACTCCCTCACCTCGGTCAAATCCCACCTCCTCGACTGAAACAATCTACCAAAACAAAGTTCTCGTCAGGAACTATATTAGAAACTGTCAGAGTAGTGTAACACGTGAGCTCTGCCAGAGTAGTGCAACACGTGAGCTCTGTCAGAGTAGTGTAACATGTGAGCTCTGTCAGAGTAGTGTAACATGTGAGTACAGCCTGTCATTGTCAGCATTTTGTAGGATAGTGTATGACTTCAAAATCAGTGACAACCTTTCGTGAGAGGGAAAGACATGAAGAGGCAGACTGAAAATCAGACAACGAGAAACAGAAAGAAAGGAGGAGATGAACGTAGAAAAAAAAAAGAGAACTTGGGATTCTTTCAAGAGAAAAACACATATTGCTTCAACTTCCAAGAGTATTCTTGAGCAGTGTGGTCAATGTGAAAGAAAATGCGGTACTTGAAAACACAACTTCAAAAAAATATATTATCTAAGTGATTTAGAAACTAAATAAAAAATGTTTAAAAAGAAACCTACCATAGCAACCTATAACTAAAATTCCTCAAGCCTGGAGCTGACAAAACACAAAACCTAATTGTCCCTAGACACATCGACACCATGCCTAGCCCTTCTAGGGTAGGGTAGGTGCCTGAGCCAGAGCTTGAAGCTCACAAGCCTGTCATTTCCATTAGGCCCCTTGGGTTAAGTCTCAGACACTCCCTAAAGAGGGAGCCAAGGCCGGGCCACCACTTGGAAAAGGCCCGGGTCGGGAGAATACCGGCGAATCTTTAATAATAATAATAATGTCCCCAGACTGAGAAATTTTACCAATACCAAAACAATTCTATGTGGTGAGCAATTAACAAAAGCAAGATGATTACTCTAATAAACAAAGAAGAAAATGGTAATTATTGAACTAACTGAATTTCATAATATCCTGGACTTAAGAATAACTTTAAAACACTACAAGTTAGTCTGTATTGTATATAAAAGAAATATAATTCATTCCAGATGGTGATATATGTAACATAACAACAAAGAATCACCTGGCCACCTGCCAGTGATCTAACAGGATCAGAATGGCAGGGTTCTATCGTGATAAAGGGTTCTAACTCTTAAGAGGACTACAGTAACATAATCAAGATTATAGTAACATAATCAAGAAGATTATAGAAACATGATGAAGAAGGCTGTAGTGATATAATCAAGAAGACGGGATATTCAGTGATAATCAAGAGTATTCATAAATTATCAAGAATATTAAAAAATAATCAAAGATATTCAAATCAAATTATTGTTATTCAAAGATAATCAAGGATATTCTAAGGTAATCAAAGACAATTTTAAGAATTAAGGATATCCTAAGATAATTAAGAACATTCAAAGATAATGATGGATATTCAAAGAAAATCAAGATTATTCAAAAATAATCAAGGATATCGAAAGATAATCAAGAATATTCAAGGATAATCGAGAATATTGAAAGATAAACAGAATTAAGTATTTTGAAAAATAATCAAGGACATTCAAAGATAACCAATGACTTTCAGAGATAATCAAGGACTTTCAAAGATAATCAGAGACGTTTAAAAATAGTCGAGGAAATCGGGACCGTGACATCAACAACTCACAACTGACTCAGAATACCGTGGGTGCTGAATGCAGTAATTCACAACTAAAAGGTCGCAACAATTCAGAACTCATCCACAAGTTGGAATTGGAAACTAAATGACGTTTCGGTCCGTCCCTGATAGTGGTCCAGGACCTACTGAAACGCCGTCTGTTTTCACGTACCAATTTACGGGTTACTTGTTAGTAGTCTGCTAGTAGGAATGTAGCGTGACTATCTCACGGATCAGCGGACGGAGGATCGAGCCTCCACCGGTACTTCGCGTTAAATGACCCACAGGGTTTTATCGCTTACTGCAGAATTCAGAGAATACGATTTTCGTGAATGCTTCCGCAAAAGATTCGTAAAAATATTTGTTTATTTTCTCGTAAATAGAGGTTTGTAACATATTTTTTTTTTTAGTTCAGCTTACGATGTTACTTTTCAAAGAAGCTTTTGGTGCCAAAGATTTCATGTGTAATTGCTTTCTTAGTTTAAAAATGAAAAAAAAATGTGTTATATAAAAATAATACGACTGGAATCACGTAATTCCGCACTAAGCGTATGATTGCTTGCAGTCAGATCGTCTGACGTGAAGGCCAGAGCACCTACGTGGATGATTGTCACCGGTTGTAAGGCAGCAGAGGCAGAAATATAGACGCATCATGTCTGCTGAGTTTTCATTCTTGATGAAAGAGAGTCAGCAACAACAGCTGCAGTAATGGCAGTTGTAACATAACAGCTGCAGCAATACAAGAAGCAGAAACATTACGACAGCAGAAAAGTGGTAGGAAGATTCCTGTAGCGTAATGGTACTTACACCAGTAGCTGCAGCGGGTACAGCAACAATAGCACTAGCAACACCACCACCTGCAGTACTACAACAGCAGCACCACAACAGCAGAGTGGTGGTGTCACGACTAGCATAAGAGTTCTCCCCGGCTACCCAAGCCACAAACACATGTGATAAATTTCTGTGTAAATAAAACTGGAATGTGTATCTTGCGTGTGTTGAACACACTGTAAGGTGACCAGAGGATAACTATATATATTTGTGTATATCTCCTGTACTCTTAGCTCTGTGTAGCATGTACATAAAATAGAGATTTATATGAGGGAACACGGAGTGATTTTAACCAGAGTAGTGATCACCCGTTATTGTATGCTCTGAACTGTCTTGTGTGACTTGTTCATGTTTTAACGATTTCATTTGTCCTGGACGTCCTTGCAGGTAAGCTTATTTGACCGAACAAGCATACATACACACACAAACTCTCTCTCTCTCTCTCTCTCTCTCTCTCCTCTCTCTCTCTCTCTCTCTCATGTATATATATGTCGTGCCGAATAGATAAAACTTGACATTTTGGCTTAAATACCAACGCTCTTCTTGCCGAATAAGGTAAGCGAAAATTTTTGTATGCAACAATTTCGCAAAAATCATTGTGAACCTAACGAAAAAAAAAATATTTCATTGTGTTTGTTTATTATTAAATTATTATTAACTTATTTAAAATATATTTAGTTGGATTAGGGTAAATTAACTTGCCCTGTTATAATAAAGTTAGGTAAGTTTTCCAAGGTTCTTTTGGTACAAAATTATTAATTTCTACATTAATATAAATGAAAGAAATATATCTTTAACATATAAGAGAAAATTTTAGAAAGGACTTAATCATCAATGAGCTCTTGCTAATTGACCAATTTTACCTATTTGGCACGATATATATATGTCGTGCCGAATACGTAAAACTGGTCAATTAACAAGAATCATTTAAAATTAAGTCCTTTCTGAAATTTTCTCTTATACGTTTAAAGATATATTTTTTCATTAATCTTAATGTAAAAATTTCAAATTTTGCAAAAAAAGAATCTTAGAAAACTTACCTAACCTTATTATAACAAGAGCAATTTATTTTAGCCTAACCCAACTAAATATATATTTAAATACGTTTACAATAATTTAGTACTAAACAAACACAATCAAATATATTTTTTTCGTTGGATTCAGAATGATTTTGGCGAAATTATTGCATACATAAATTTTCACTTGTCTTACATGGCAAGACGAGCGCTGCTATTTAAGCCAAGATCGCAAGTTCTGCCTATTCGGCACGACATACATACATATATATATATATATAAAATATATATATATATATATATATATATATTTTATATATATATATATATATATATATATATATATATATATATATATGTCGTGCCGAATAGGCAGAACTTGCGATCTTGGCTTAAATAGGAACACTCATCTTGCCATATAGGACAAGTGAAAATTTGTGTATGCAATACTTTCGCCAAAATCATTCTGAACCCAACGAAAAAAATTTTATTTCACTGTGTTTTGTTTAGTATTAAATTACTGTAAACAAATCTAAAATATATTTAGTTGGGTTAGGCTAAAATAAATTGCGCTTGTTATAATATGGTTAGGTAAGTTTTCTAAGTTCCTTTTGGTGCAAAATTATAAATTTTTACATCAACATTAATGAAAAAAAATATATCATTTATACGTATAAGAGAAAATTTTAGAAAGGACTTAATTTTAAATGAGTTCTTGCTAATTGACCAGTTTTACATATTCGGCACGACATATATATATATATATATATATATATTTTATATATTATATATATATATATATATATATATATATATATATATATTTTATATATATAATTTATATAATAATGTTTTTTATATATATATATATATTATATATATATATATATATATATATTATATAATATTTTTATTTTATATATATATATAGTCGTCCCCAAAATAGGCAAACTTGCGACTTGGCAAAAATAGCAACGCTCATCTTTGCCATATAGGACAAGTAAAATTTTGGATGCGTAATTTCCCAAAAACTTCTAAACCCCAAAAAAAAAAATTTTTCATGTTTGTTTATATTAATTTTGAAAGAAAAACTAAAATATATTTATTGGGTTAGGCAAAAAATAAATTGGCTTTTTTTAATAGGTTTGGGTAATTTTTCTAAATTATTTTGGTCAAAATTTAAAAATTTTTTTACAAAAAATTATGAAAAATATTCTTTAAAGTAAAAGAAAAAATTTCAGAAAGGTTTAATTTTAAATGAGTTCTTCTAATTACCATTTTTTACATATTCGGCACGACATATATAATTATATTTTAAATTATAATATATTTAATATATATATATATATTATTATTATATAATATATATTTATATATATAATATAATATTAACACCCCGGTAACACAGGGTTTTAGGTAATGAAAATTTTAAAAAGAAGATAAATAGGTAACAAAATATGATATAGGGCGCAATGGCAACATTTTGCGGGTTAGTTTTAGTAAAACGGGCTGGAAGTGGGAAAGTTTGGATATATATGTTTTAAAAGGGGAGGAAGATAAATTGAACATCGTTATTTGTGGTTGCTAAGTAGAGTAAGACGTAGGTGTACAGGAGAATAACATTTTAAGAGACATTAAAATGAATGAAATAAAGGGAGCAGTGGACAAAATAAGCAACTATTTTAAGATAGGCGGGTCAAAAAGTGTGCTGGTAATGAAGTCGAAAGTTATGGGGTTATGTATTTTAAAGTGCAGTGCTATGGTTATTAAGTTTGTGGTTAGGGAGTAAAATGTGTTTGCGATAAATAGGTGAATCACAAAATAGTAGGGTAAATAGTTCACAGTATTGAGAAATCTGTAGAAAAAATTTTTTTTATAATAGAGGCAAAAAGGGGGAACCAGGGTGTATGATGGTCCCAACATTTTTGCTTTTTTGGGTTTTGAGACAAAAGTTTTAACTTTACGGGGAGCGGGGGAAAATTAGAGGCAATGCAAATGTCATTTTTTGAAAGCAATTGGTATTATGCCGATAATTCATATATAAAAAATTTCACGATGATGCGAGTTGCCAAAGATAAATTCGAATCCCAAAGGAGGGGGGTTTGTTGATTTGGGTTTAAAACATTTAGAGAGAATTTAATGAGAACAGGAGCCCAGTGATGTTTTAATCTGAGGGGGGAAAGAAAGAAGGTGAGGTCCCTTAAAAAGGTGGCAGAGGGGGTAAAGGGGTTCTGCCAGGGTTTCAGATCGCCAGTGTGTGTGAATTTGATCAGCTTTAGAGGGACAAGGGGTTTTTTAATGGATTGCACGCTGTTGGGGTGGGGTAGACATTTATAAAGGGGTTTCAAAAAAACCGTATTCAGACTTAACTCCGGAAGTTGAAATTAGTGCCTGACCCTGAAGAAGGGGGGACGATGTTTCTTTCTGGGGTCATTTGATTGAATTTTTTTGTCGTTTTGACTCGGGTTATTGAAGAAAAAATTTCTCGGTGAGAGGGGGCCCAAATAAGGTAACACACACACCACACACACACACACCCACCACACACACACAACACGACTAAAATGAATCCAGGGATTTTGGGAAAATTTTTTCTTCAGAAAAAGTTGTCGGGAAGTGGAATAGTCGGGAAGTGATATATGGAGGCGGACCCATAAATGCTTTAGAAGAGGTATGAAAGGCCCCTGGAGCAGAAGGTGACCTACAGGGACCAGGAAGGGGAGGTCCAGAAGCTGTGAATCGACCCTGCAACCACAATAGGGGGAACTAGGTGAGCAACCCCATACACACGTAATCATACTACTTATATATAATATTTTATATTTATTATATATATATAAAATTTTATTTAAAAAATTATTTATTATATTTAAATTTTATATATAAAAATTTTATATATTATATATATATATATTTATTTTTTATTTATATTATATGTCGTGCCCCAAAAGTAAAATGGTCAAAAAGAAGAATCATTTAAAATTAAGTATTTTAAAATTTTATCTTACAGGTTTAAAGATTTTTTTATTAAAGTTAAAGAAAAAAATTTTAATTTTCTCCAACAGAATTTATAAAACTTACCTAACCTTAAAAATTTAAAAGAGCAATTTATTTTTGCCTAACCCAAAATAAATAATTTTAGATTTGTTTACAGTAAATTTAAAACTAAACAAAACACAGCGAAATACATTTTTTCGTTAGGGTTTAGATTTTTGGGAAAAAATTTTTGCATTCAAAAAATTTTTACTTGTCCTATATGGCAAGAGAGCGTTGTGTTTAAGGCAAGATCGCAAGTTGCCTATTTGGCAGAAATTTTATTTTAAATTTTTATATATTTTTAATTTTGTGTTATATAATTTATATATTTATAATTATATATATATTTTTATTATTTAATTTTATATTATATATTTTTATTAAAATTTTATATAAATTTATATATATTTTTTTTGTGTGTGTGGGGGTGGGTGTGTGTGTGTGTGTGTGTGTCGTGCCGAATAACAAATTTGCTATCTTGCTTAAATAGCAACGTTTATTTGCATTAGGACAAGTGAAAATTTGTTATGCAATAATTTCGCCAAAAACATTCAACCAACGAAAAAAAAAAGATTTTGCTGGTTTGTTTTGTATTAAATTACTGTAAACAAATTAAAAATTATTTAGTTGGGGGGGGCAAATAATTTTTCTTGTTATATTAATAGGTTAAATTTATAAGATTCTTTGGTGCAAAATTAAAATTTTTTTCATTAAAATTTAAGAAAAAATATATCTTTAAAGTATAAGAGAAAATTTAGAAAAAACTTTAAATTTTAAAAAGAGTTCTTTCTAATTTACCAGTTTTACAATTTGCCGAGCACCACACCACACAACATATTTATATATATATATAATAAAATATATAATATAAATTTAAAAATTTTTTAAAATATATATTATATGTTTTTATATAATATTATATTATAATTATAAATTTTTTAATAATATATATATATTTTATAAAAAAAAATTATATATATATATATATTATTATATATATATTATTAATATATATATTATATATATATTAAAAATTTTATATAATAATAATAAAAATTATAAATATTAAATTTTAATAATTTAAAAAAATATATATTTATATATATATTATAAATAATATTATATATAAAAATTAAATATATTATATTTTTATATATATATTTATATATTAATATATATATATATATATTATATAATATATATAATTTTAATTATGTAATCTTTCTTTATTGATCTCCTTTTTGATTTGTCAGTCAATAGATGTGAAAAATGTTTATCAGTATTTTATATTTGATATAGTTCTGTATAGCTCTAGAGAGTAGTAAATTATGTTAACAAACCTAATTATTTCAAACAATCTGTTGACAAGTTAATGTCCATTAGTTTAAAACTGAAACATATATAAAGAATAATTTTGGATATTTTTATTTCATTTCTCCCTTGGCTCGAGTTACCTAAAACAAAAATGTTTTGAGAATAAAAACTAGATAAAACAATAGAAGGCTTCAGGATTGACTTCAAGGAATGCTTGGAGAAAGAATTAT